TTCTTCAAGCCACCATGCTGCAAGGGCTGGATCAGCCCAAGCCAAGTTACCTCCACTGTTCTCACTGCAGCCTGTTAAAAAGGCAGCTTCTCTGCTCTTTACAGTAGTGAAGACGTGCAGCCATAGACCCCACTGCCATATCTCTCTGATTCACACACCTACCAGTCCAGTTCAGCATGGCCTTCGTGTTCATAATCCTTTTGGAAAAACATGATTCTTTTCTCCTGGCTCTTCTGACCTATTATCCCATAGTCTCCCTTGTTCCTAAGCAGATCCCACTCTCTGCAGGTCCTCAGTTATAAAAGGATCTCTCTTTCAGGGTTTATCCCCACAGTTGTCCCTCCTGTTTCAAGTTCTGAACACATTCATCTGGCCTATATGTCCTTATTTCTCCTTCACTTTGCTGAAATATTTATCTAATGAAATTATACCATCAGAAATGCTCTTAGAGTGTTTGTAAGAAAGACACAAAATAGAACATAATTACAATAAAAGCATCAGACATTCAAAAATCTAATAAGGGTATATATCTTTCCATCTCTCTCTGCATAACAAATTCATTAATATGTTAAACCAGTGGCTCCCAGCCTTTATTAATTAACATACCACCTCCTTGCAAGCATGATGTTTGTGGTACTATGTGGAATTTTCTCCTTTCCGTGTATAGTGTTTCAGACCAGAACAGGGCGAGCTTGTATTTCTGGATAAGTACAATAAGCACTTAAGGAAACTAATAATTTCCATGATAACTTGGACCAGCCAGCAAACAGGAGTTGCGTCCTTTGAGGAATGCTGCAGGATCTGTGTCGTTTTGATGTGGAACAAAAAAAGCATAACCCCTGGAAAATGTTAATAGAGAAATGTAATTGAAGAGAGCAAAGACAGAGAGCCTGACAGAAAGAGCCAAACAGAGCCTGTCCCAAAACAGATGGCAGCTCAGTCAGTAGGCACTTTGCCTGCAAGGTAGAACTTGCAGATTTGGGTCTCTAACTCAAATCAAGGGCGACATCCTTCCTCTCTTGCTAGTTGGGGACTTTGTTCTGGGCTTCCAGCGTTTGTTCTTTGTTTCCAGCGTTGACTTGAGAAACCTCCTGACAAAAGATTAAATGAGGCACAGGTTGTCCAGAGAACTTGTGGATGTCTCATCTGTGGAAACATTCAAGGCCAGGTTGGACGTGGCTTTGAGCAACCTGGCCTAGTGGGAGGTGTCTCTGCCCATTTTCAGATGGATTTGAACTAGATGATCTTTAAGGTCCCTTCCAACCAAAACTGTTCTGTGATTCTACTGTCTCTTCTGTGAACAGGGATGGCTTTGCTGAACCAAATGTTTCACCCAAAAGGTCCCAACCAGCTCTGATGACAGTATGAATTGTAAAAATCTCCTGTTTCGGATGGAACGCTGTGAAAAAGCACAGCCGAGCTGTCAGTATTATTGTTTATGCATTTCAAGTCATGTTAAAAATAAACACTGTAAATACCATCTTGCTGCACTCCGGCATGCTGCCGGACAGCTTTCAGAGGCCTCCCTTCTCACCACACCTGATGGGAATGGAAACTCCTCTTAACTCTTACCCAAACCATCCACAATCACAAGCCAAAATTCACTTTACCCTTCCACACTTAAAAAAACAACCACAAAGTATTTCCCCAAT